ATATTGGTAACATTTAGTTCTTTTGTGAATGTGAATTATGCTACAAAATATCAGAGTGAAAGTTTTTTCGTATAATATTTATATACTGATGAAAACATTTAATATTGGTAACATTTAGTTCCTTTGTGAATGTGAATTACGCTACAAAATATCAGAGTGAAAGTTTTTTGTATAATATTTATATACTGATGAAAACATTTAATATTGGTAACATTTTGTCACTTGAATGAAACTGGATTCAGTGACATCTACTGGGAATGGTTTGAGGGCGTGTTTTTGAGTATATGAAGCAGGCTTTATTTATACACTATTTCACATTATATACATATTTATAAGTTTAAGTCAAACGAGAAGATTAAATATCTAGCAGTAAATCTCAATGAATAACATTTCTTTATTAATGAAATTGCCATCTGTCATGAAACATATCAAAATCATGGTCTACAAACCAGCATACAGATTTGTTTTAATAAAGTTCTCATACACTTAATAATTAATCTTTTGTATTTGTCCCACTAGGGCTTGTTTCTAGAGGGTTTGCAGGTGGGGCCATATACTCCTCCGGTTCTTCCTCTTTATCACTAATGTACTCTTCCCAGTCTTGAATGGGTGATTCTATGCTTTCTTCTTCTGGAATCTCAAGTTGTTCATTGGTTTCTTTGGCAGATGACAAATTCTGGTAAATACTCATTGCCTATAGGAACAATTAGCACAGAAAATTACACATACGACTTTTAAAAACATACATAACAACTATCTTAATTGTGCACTTTTCTTTGTCCCACTAAAAATTGAAAGAAAAGAAATAATTCAAGAATGATGTAGATGCCTGCCTAATCTATTCTATTATTACTAATTCTGTCATCAGTAATGCATGGGATGAAATGCAAACATATTTCAAGGTTTGTGTAATGATTTTTAGTGATGAGTAAAATACTTACAGCAAACTCTGGAAACATTTATCTTTATAAAAAAATCAAATGTGACACCTTGTGGTAATAGACATACACTGACTGGCTACTTCATCAGGACCCCTCCACCCTCAACTGACATCATGTTGTACTACCTTTCACTGAGATAACAGAATAGGAGAGCCATGGCATACATTCTACTAGATGCTCTAAGGCATCTTATTCAATTATAACTCATTCATTGCAAAGAATGGCCTGAAATTAGTTCATTGGGATAAGTAATGTATTATAGTAGTGAATAAGATGTTAGGGTTTATCCCAAAGAAGCTTAATTAGACTGAGATTTAACGCATTGACCAATGAGAATGACTGATGTCATTGTTATGCTCTTCAGAAAAGAAATAATCCATGAATAACATTGAGACCTATCTATTCTTTGATTGGCTACTCCTTTCGCTGTAGACTAGTACAATTAGAAATAATCACTTACCGTTCACCCGTTGAACGTGTGATATCTGTTGTACCTTAAAATCAGAGTTTGCATTAGTAGATGTACAGTTCTAAGCTAGTTAATGGAAAATTTAAGATATTGTAAATTCAATAATCTTTCTAATAAAAACTAGATAAGTTAAAATGGTGGAGCATGATATTTTCATAGGGCCTCTATGGTGTGTCATCTTGGCTGTAGTGGAGCCCTCATTCTTTGGAACTAATCACCACACATAATGCAAATTAAACTGGGATCAAAACATTGTGCATACATTGTGGTGAGGAGAGGAAATCCTCTATATACTTTAAATAAAAATTCAAAGATACAGCTTTCGAGAGGATTGTTTATTTGTATTTAAATTTATTACTACGTTTTGACCACTCGTGTGGCCATCATCAGGTAACAGACAACAGTTACCTAATGATGACCACACGAGTGGTTGAAGTGTTGTAATAAAGTTAAAAAATCCACTCAAAAGCTGTATCTTTGGACATTTATTCATTGTGCATATGCGTCAGTTGCTAAGCCTTAGTATTTATTATATTCAGCTAACACTTGTCTTAAAATAAATACAGGCAGATTATGTACTCATGAAAAATCCTTAATATAGGCTCTGCTTACAAAGCTTTCCAATTGCTTTTCCCTCCATCAATGAACAATGGTTAGTATTTAATGTTCTTGCTACCACTTTCAACAGATCCTGATGCCATGTGCCTTTGAACAGCTGGTTAAATAAACGGTCTTTGATAACGATGCTCTTGCTAGAAAAGCATACACTATTATACCTGTTTGAAAGTTGAAGAAATCCTTGTTTTTACCCATTGTGTAACAGACTAACCATGATAAGACTTTACTTTTCTATATTTTTAAGGATCAAGCAATCACCTGACACATCTCATGATCAGCAGTATGCTTATGCAAATAAATGAAGTATCCTATAGACATGTGCTTCTAGGTCTCAATAAAGTGGCTAGCCAATATATGCATGGTTAATATATATATATAACACTTATACATTTAATATCATTTAAGTAAGCTGCGTTGTGTGTGATTCAGTATGTGAAAAAGTAGTAACTACTTACTTTAGCCAGAAAGCACTCTCTACAATTAAAAAAAATAAAATAAAATCGGATTCTTAAATTTAAATATTTTGTTTGTGAGAACACTTAAAACAAGTAGCTACAGATAGGAAATCTTCCCCCCTTTTTGTTATCAATGTTTTGAAAATATATGAGCAGTCCCCTACCATTCCTAATTCTCACAGTTCTATCTGATTATTAAAATATCAAAACTGGCTTTTCATCCTAAACAGAGGAATACTTGAAATACCATAGGCTAAGAACTAAATCAGCAATCAGAAAAAAATAAGTTGACTAAGTTATCAAATAAGCAGCTGTAAGAAACAGAAACTTCCAGCACAACTTCACTTCAAAATTGTATACCAGAAAGAATCGGAGAACATTTTCCCACTGGTACTTATTATGATTAATTAATAACTGGAAAAAATAACTCAGTAATATTTTTTGTCATTTTCATGACAAAAAAACATGTTAGTAACTACAAAACTTTAATTTCATGTGAGACGTCTTTAAAATCCATGTAGTTAAAAAATTATGACGTGTATCAAATAAACTAAAGTTATTATCACACATAAAAAAATTAAGATGTAAAAAATACACACATTAAATACAAGGAAACAAAAAATTAAATACAGAAAATATCATAATTTCTTTTACTTGTTTGTTTTGAAGTGGTTAGATTTTTTCCAACACTTTCAACATTTGGACAAATAGTTTTACAACCTAGTAAACCTAATTATACAAATTTAAGTTTGCCCTATAATAAGGCTTTATTTAATTTCTAGTCTCTACTGGACAAAACGTCCACAAAATATTACATTTCTGATTGGAATTAGGCTGTGAAAAATGACCTAAAGTTATTATTTTAATACATTTAAAACATCTTAGAGAAAAATATATTTGACAGAACAATGACTTTGAAATAAAACTTATCCTAAGTAACAGAGAGTATTTACTTACTTGAGTAACCATGCTTGAGATATCTCCCGTGTTAGTTGGAAGTAACACTGTATTTCCTGTTTTGGCTAATTTACTGAAGGCATTTACATACTGTTCTGCTATAACCAGAGATGCAGCATTTCCACCATGCTATAAATAACAACCCAAAATTTCAATGTAGGAAAAAAACGAGTCTATCTCAATAAAAAAAAATATTGAGTAGTTTTTATATGTGCTAATAAATGAACATTGTGATCTCTTCCTTAATTGTTATTGTGTGTTTCATTAATAGATTGTCCCACATTTTCCCATGTGAACCACCAATACCTGAAAATATATCAAATGAATATGTGAGAGATGGGTTGTTCAAATCAATAAAACCTTCTACTTCTTACGAAAGTGATTTTTCACGAGCAAACATTATCACAGAACAGCTTACATGGATATGTCATGTAAAATGCATTTTACACGAATAAAAACACTTTGAGAATTTGGCTCTATATCTTACTAACTTAAATATTTGGCAAAAACAACATTCATTTTGAGAAAAATCATGATTATTACTATCTCTGAAAAAAAAAAATTATTAGCATCTCCAATTACTAAAAGTTTCCGGAGAAAAACATTTTTTCAAATTCATAAAATAAAAATGGCAGTGATTGTTTGTTTGTTTTGAATTGCACGCATAGCTACACGAAGGCTATTTGTGCTAGCCGTCCCTAATTTAACAGCGTAAGACTAGAGGGAAGGCAGCTAGTCATCACCACTCATCACCAACTCTTGGGCTACTCTTTTACCAATGAATAGTGAGATTGACTGTCACATTATAAAGCCCCCATGGCTGAAATGGATAGCAAGTTCAGTGTGACGGGGATTGGAACCCACATTCCTCAAACTGCGAGTTGATCGCCCTAACCACCTGGCCAAAAATGTCAGTGAATTGAGTTTCTATATCATACTGAAACAGTGTGTAAATACAAGCCAATTTATGACATCAAAAACACTAAACAAAATAAAATATCTTAAGCTAAAATACTTACTGTCAATATTTATAAATTTTGCAATAAAAGTTTTATGCAAACACTTGAAAAAAAAAACCTTTGGTGGATATGAAATAGGAATAACATATTCAAGTGATAAAGCTAGTTTTCAGATCTGAAAATCACAAACTCATTGTTTCAAAAACCTTAACACAATTACACTCAAACAAGTGTATCATAATTATTTGAACCGTTGGATAATCAGCTTGATAAGATATACTTTCTAGACTAACATATACATCAAAATTATAATTCAACTGACATAAAAGTAAGGGAAGAAAAAAAATTAATTATTTGCCAGTAATGAAAGCCAACTCGAGCAAAGTTTGGTGGTTTAATCAACTCTACCTGACTTAAAGAGAACAATTTCATTTTTCTTTGTGAAATATAATAAATAAATATTACCAAACTTAAATATCAAACCTAAAGTATTTTTGTGCCAAGAATTGATAAAACAGAATTGGAATTACAGTAGTCCCTTTAAGATACGACCGACCTATCTGCCATGATAAAAAAAAAAAGTCGCATCTGACAGGAAGTCATTCGTGGAGGTCAGATCAATGTAAAATCATTTTGTGCACAGAAAAAAAAGTCATATTTAAAGGAAGTCATTATTGGGAAGGGTCATATCCACCGGGGACTACTGTACATGTTTACTTAAATTTAGAAAATCGACATACAGGTGTGCACTAGATACCTGAAGTATACACTCTGGTCTTAAAAGGGTTAAAAAAATATTCTTGTTTTGGAATGGTTTTTCTAATAGACTGAATAGTAAATGTATGGTTAAACCTTACCTGTTTTTTTAATGACTCTGCAACAAAGAGTAATGACTTAGCTCTGGCATTGGCTTTTGCAAGAATGGCGGCAGCTTCACCTAGCATAAAATAGATAAAACTTATACACACACGTGTGTGAAAAGCCTAAAACGACAACTGTAGACATTATTGAGTATTTACGTAACATAAATTTTAAACAACGCTTACAACCGGAGGTAATAACTACACTTAGAATTTTCTGGCTTTTCTCAATGTCATAAAACATCACTTCTTGTTGAGATCAATAAAAATTTAGGGTATAAAAATAAATTACTTAAAAACCTGTGGTTGTAACATCCTCAATATTTTACTTTATGTCAATAACTATTTTTAATGGAGATTTGAAAAAAAAATCTTTGTAAATGTGCGTGCAAGCTTTCACACACTTTAACTCAAATCACAGAGGGTGTATGGTCTCTATACACAGACTTCTTTCACTTTCGGCCCAGCATGGCCAGGTGGTTAAGGCACTCGACTCGCAGTCTGAGGGTCGCGGGTTCGAATTCCCGTCCCACCAAACATGCTCGCCCTTTCAGCCGTGGGGGCGTTATAATGTGACGGTCAATCCCACTATTCGTTGGTAAAAGAGTAGCCCAAGAGTTGGCGATGGGTGGTTATGACTAGCTGCCTTCCCTCTAGTCT